ACAGCAGTCTTACAATGATTGGAATATTTATGCCCTTCTTCCCTCACTTCCTGGTTGCAGGTCATTCGATCTGCTAGTGAAGAATCTGAATGGGAAGAACTACACCATGACCTTCAACAACCTCCTGAAACCCATCTCTGTGGAAGGCAGCTCTAAAAAGGTCAGTGCACCTCAGCTGTGAGAGATTTAGGTCCCTCACAAAGTACTGTGCTCATTCCCTGATTCTAGTTCAAGAGACTCATCGCTAACCTTTAGTCCCTCCCTTCTGTCTGTAAAGTCTCTTCATTGTGAATGTGATTCTTATTAATCTGTAATTGTCATAACTGTGGAATTATTCTCTGGAATCCTATTTCAAAAGATCATGTCTGGATATTATACTCTTTTTTTGAGGTCTAAGAGGTTTGAGTTTTGAGGTCTAAGAGACTTGTCAGCAGACTGAAATCTTGGGAAGTTTAAATAGACTTCATAGCCAAAGCAAAGTCTGAAACCTGCTCTTCCTTTGTAAGGGTGTGTTGCTCCAGAATTGAACACTAGTATCATTTTACTGCAACTGGTGATAGTATCCTTACTTTGGTACTTGGAGCACCTTTCTGGGCTCAGGGATGTGTCAGATCCAAGGGCACAGAATGCACACAAGTGGTGCTGCACTTAGTGACATCAAACGTGAAGAAAGGATGGTTCGATTGAAATTGCCCTGAAACTGGGACAGTGTAAAATTAAAACAACTGACATAAATGAGGGTGATGCTCTGGTGATTTTTAATGTGGCATAAAAGCAAGCAGTGGTCACGTACTTGCTAAGCTAAAGCTCCAGCAGACTTGTCTGCTGTGGCATGCAGGAGTTCTTTGTGAAATTTAGGTCAGGGTTGCAATTAAACAGTCTTTGCTTGTAACTTGCAAACTTATTGCAAGATTAAGCAATGCCCTAAAGCTAGTTTCTTATCCTTGGAGAAATAAATTGGGAGAGCCTCTGCCTGAACTTGGTGTTCTTGAAGTCTTGTAAATATAGCCACCCTTTACCCCACAGTCCTGGGTACTTTTACCATCCTGAGAATCACTGAATGGTGTTTCTGCAGCACTGTATCCTCTTCTGTATTGGTTTTACTGTACAGTACTACAGTTATATTAATCACACCATTTAAATCGTCCACAACAAGGTTAATATTTGTACCCTGAAGCTGAATACATACTATAATTTCTTTATGCTATGTAATAATCAATAGCTGAGATAAAGGTTTCAGGAATTTGTGAGTATAGGAAGAGATTTATGTTCTAATCTAACCTTACTCGTTGTGGCTGTGAGTAGCATCCCCCGATGAAGCATTCTAATTTCATGCCTTGCTGTTCACCATACAGATAAAGACAGACATGGTCCTTGTGATGTGTAGGAAGAAGCGGGAGGAAAAATGGGAATGTCTCACTCAAGTGGAAAAAGAAAGCAAAGAGAAAGAGTAAGTATCTCTTCAAACCTATATCTCATTTTCCATTTCATGTTCTCCCAATTGCTTTAGGCCTGCCAGGAGAGCAGATCTGTACTGCACTGACTGCACAGTCAGGCTGTGAGAATTGTTGTTGTGGGGAACAAGCCCCTGAGATGTTGGAGCAGCAGTAGGTTGGGTAATTTTTTTTGGTCCTAGCAGGACTGGCAGTGGAGGAGACAGGCTTTGAGTAGCTGTTTGCCACTCTCCTACCATTTCATTGCTAGTGATGAAGGCTGCTTCATAGGAAATGGGATAGATAAGACCTGCAGTGAGAGTGCTAATGAACCAATTAAAGATTCATTTCTATTTTTAATGGCTGCATTCATTGCAAAAACAGCTCTAGTGAGGTTGACTTTTCTTAGCTTAAGTGTATATTATTTAGAAATACATATATATTCTCTACAGCTGTGCTGGTTGAAACAATAACTATTTTGTCAACTGTATGTGAATTGCCTGCACAAAAATCTCCCTGTCCTTTTGGCAAGACAGGCCTCAAGGTCATTTGTATCACTGCCAGTACTTGGGAGCAATCCTACAAGCAGTTTAGGCACTGGATAATAAGGGTGGTACATTACAGCAAGAAGCACCTGGGAACAGGAGAAATTTTTATATAAAATGTAGTATATTACATAATAATTTTGTTATTTTACAGTATAGACATATGTTATTTTCCAGAAGAGAATGTGTATGCCCACCTTGAAGCATGGAAACACTCACTTTTGAGAAAGTTATGCCCACCAACAACTATTTATTTTGTGAGTGTTGATAGGATGATTTGCTAAAACTGGTTAGTCCTCACTAACCATACCGGAATTTAGAACTAAAGTACCTTCCCCTCTCAAAGGGCTTCCCTGGGGATTAAGAGAAGGCAACTCGACTACTAATGCACGTTGCTGGTGGGACAGGGTCATTTTGTGAACGCTGTATCTTGTGCAGAGCAGTCCTGCAGGCTGCCCAGCCTGTCACAATATAGTATTGCAATTTATTGCAAGTGTTGAGGATTTACAACATGACAAAATGAGTTGCTTCAGAAATAAACCTTGTGCTGGGGTCTGTGAGACTGCTGGTTAGCCTCATGCTTGGCTTGTGCAGAGCAGTCCTGCAGGCTGCCCAGCCTGTCACAATATAGTATTGCAATTTATTGCAAGTGTTGAGGATTTACAACATGACAAAATGAGTTGCTTCAGAAATAAACCTTGTGCTGGGGTCTGTGAGACTGCTGGTTAGCCTCATGCTTGGGGAACTTGCTCCCTCTGCTGATGTGTTTTGATCTGTGTGTTTTTCAGAAAGCCCACAGCTGCAGGGGGAACTTGCTCCCTCTGCTGATGTGTTTTTCAGAAAGCCCACAGCTGCACTAGTAAGTACCTAGAGGATTTTAGAACACAGGATAGAGAGGACGTGCTGTATAGCCTGATAATGTGCTTACCACATGGGTGGCACCATTTGTCACTTGGCTTCTTCAATTGAGAAAATTGCTTTGAAATGCAAGGTGTTAGAAAGAAGTCAGTTAATCTCTGGAGATAATCTGAAAAATGAGGAGCAGAAAACGCCTTTTGGGTTGTCAATGTGGCCACTTGAAATAGCTCAATGTGGTAATTTTTCTGTTTTTATTTACTTTTCACATGATGGCACAGACAGATATTAGCACTTTGTGTCTGTTATATTCCACTCCTGTTTCCTAAAATTAATTTTTGGGTGGTGCTTCAAGGGTCATGTTACTGCAAAATGCTTCCCATCATTCTTAGTGGGACAGCTGTAGGTATACTACTCAACTTGCACTTCAGTTGAGGTGTACTCTGTAGGATTCTCCCTACTTGGAAGCTGAGGCATGACTGAAGGCTGTCAGAATCTGAAGACACTGCCAAAGCAAAATCCTCAGTTACAAACAAATATTAGCTTTTATGGGTTTTTTTGCACGGAATTGTTGGAAATACCTGATCTTCTCGTATGTATCTGTCTTGCAGGAAGGCTGCCTATGACACCTCAGATCCTAGTGAAGGGCTTATGAACCTTTTAAAGAAGATGTATGCAGAAGGGGATGATGAAATGAAGCGGACCATCAACAAGGCCTGGGTTGAAAGCAGAGAAAAGCAATCCAAAGGGGACATACCGATGGATATTTGAAAGTACTCTAAGGGCCGCCTTAATACTGATCTTCCATGTGAGACACGCTGTGCTGCAAAGATCATTGTTTACACAACCTTCTTCCAAGCAAAGACAGTCATTTTCCATTTCAGGTTGGAGAAAATATTTAATTAAAATAGCTTATAAAGCATTTCCTTCAGTCAAGTGGTTCACCATTTCCTGAAGAGTGGAGCATAGGTATATCCTTACCCCTCCTTGAAAAAGCATCTCAGATGAGCGGAGAGTGTTGTGAAACCGAGAACAGAGTGTAAAAGAAAAGAAATCCTAAAGTAGGATGGGTGGAGGCCTCTCTGTTGCAAGTGACAGCTGTACCCATCTGGTTGCTGGGGCTGATGTCACGCTCACTATGTGGGGAGTGGGTTTTTTTTGATTCAATGTGGGAAGGTATGTTGAACTGTAAAGCACGTCACAAAGGGAGAAACGCTGCAGAAAGTAGAACCACTATCTCAAGCACTTGATAGCTGAGCAGAAATGATACGGTGTTAACCCTGTGGTATTAAAATGTAATGGTTACTTTCAGAAATTAATTACTGGCTGTTTAACCGCTTTGCATTTTGAAAAATGAAAACAGCTCTTTAGTGCCTATGCTAGACCTTGGTGGTGTCTTTGAGGTGGCATCAGTGGCAGGAAGGAAGCGAGCTGATGCTGGACAGGGAGTGAGGAAAAGAGACAAGCTTTGCTTTCTCCTTCAACTTTCAAGGGTTTTAAAGTAAGAGAGCAAAAAGTATATTGAGGTAGCTTATACTCCAAAATTTGACTCAACTGGGGGTGATGGGTTGCTGTCATTTTGCAGCCTGTGTGCCTTCCATCTGGTGGTAGTACCATTTTACTTGGCCTGTTTATTGCAGCCTCTCCGCCCCACTGCCAGGGAGGGGGACAGAGTAGCCATTTCCCCTTTATTGCCTTGCTTTGAAGAAGAGTACAGAGCAAATGTGAGCTTGGCAGCAGGCTTGTTGTTATTCTTTCCTTCCTGCTTCCTTCTCATGTGTCTCCCAAGGACAGATTTGTTTGATGTTACTTTAGGAATTAAGGAAGCCATTACTCTCCTATTATGGTCTGGACTAGCTAGGACTTACTTGCTACCTTGTTCTTAAAGCATTGACTGCGCGCTGTACTACAAGCAGGTGATAAATACTAGCACACTGTAGTTTCTAATAGGTCCTTTATCCACTTTTCTCTGCTTGTTAATATACGTATATTAAGTTTGCATAGCAAGAGTATCTAAACTTGAGGCCATGTTTTACTTCCAGTTCGTGCTCATCCTTGTTCATGGCAGACTACTACTTTGCCCTCTTGTGCAATTTCATTTATGCTTTTACCCAAATTACCATGGTGAACTTACCCTATGGTGGAAAAAAAACTGCTTAAACGAGCCTTGTGCTGTATGTCTTTATTTCTCATGTTGCCCATATCACAAAGCTCAGCCTAGCTCTGCAACAATCAGGTAGTGACTTTCTCTCCTCAAAGTAAAACTGCCTCTCGTACACACCAGCTTAATTCAGTTACACTGCTGCTTGTCAACTGATACCAACTGCAATCCAGGAAGCGAGTTTAATGAATCGGCGTGGCTTCTCAACTTCCTCTTATTTGATATTGATGCTGGAGTCCTTCCTGGATGATCTTGCTTTAATTACTGGAACACACAAACTGGGCCTGTTCTGTGTTTTCTGCTCCCGACCGCGTATCCAGGTGGTGATCTACCACATAGCCCTCTGTATCCCAGACATCTCAGCGTGGTCAGCGAAATGGCGGAAAACAATCCTGCTGAGCCTCCAACGCCGCCTCACCCCCCGAGGGCGGGACGTCAGGACACACCTATTGCGGATCCTCACAGGGCAGCTGTCCCGGGGCAAGGCAGCGATCTCTTTATCAGCCACTTCCTAAAACAGAAGACCACAGCATAGAGTTTATCTGTGTTCCCCAGGATTTTGAGGGGATTATTGCCAGACCTCAAAATGTAGCTGTAATGTAGGTACCACCACAAGCTTCCCTACTGCCTTGTGAGTACGCTTTGCTATTTGATAGGGAACTTGCCCTGTCTTCCTCACTTGACCTTTTCTTTCTGGGCACCCTAACAGTGAATGTAAAACAATCCATGTGAAGATCACGGAATCATAGAATGGTTAGAGTTGGAAGGGACCTTAAAGATCATTGAGTTTCAACCCCCCTGCCATGGGCAGAGACACCTCCCATTTGACTAGGTTACTCAAAGCCCCGTCTGGCCTTAAACACTTCCAGGGATGGGGCATCCACAGCTTCTCTGGGCAACCTGTTCCAGTGTCTCACCACCCTCACAAGAAAGAATTTCTTTCTAGTACCTAATGTAAATCTCCCCTCTTTCAATTTAAAACTGTTACCCCTCATCCTATTGCTACACTCCCTGATAAAGAGTCCCTCCCCATCTCTCCTGTAGCCCCCATCAGGTACTGGAAGGCTGTTATAAGGTCTCCATGGAGCCTTCTCCAGGCAGAGATCCCAGAGTTAACCTTATTACACAGACTAAGCAACCTCATGCCAGTAATTGCAGTGAGTAAAAATCTGCTTGTCACTGTCCATGTTGCAGGGTGGGCTTGTCCTTTAAGAGACCCAATATTTAACCTTATTACAGACTGAGCAACCTCAAGCCAGTAATTACAGTCAGTTGAAATCCACTTGGCTTTCTCCTTGCAGGGTGGGCCTAAACCTGTGGGCCAGTCCTTTAAGATGAGATGAATTTAAATATATGTTCCTTATTAATGGCCTTCCCAGATAACATGCTTTAATGTGAGTAAAAGGGATACATGTAAGTGTACTTTGGAAGGAGTTGCAGCCAGAGGAGGGTGAGTCAAAGTGTCTCTGTTCTAATGAGAAGTCTTAAGAACGGTCTTTCTATGTACAACAAGAGAGTTCAACAGTTGTCAGAAAGCACCAGGTAGCAGCAAATGGCATTTCAGAAGAACAAGTGAGCTCAGCAGGGAAACGCAGCCTCAAAGAAGTCGCTCCAGGCCAGGTAAGCACCCCTGACTGCAGCGTTCTTAATATGCTATTTTCTGAAGGACAGAAGGGCTCAATGAATCCTGTGTTCACTCATGGTAGGAAGTCACAGTTGGAGGTAAAAGGAAGGTCTGATGTTCAACTACAACTCCCATTGTGTTGTGTGAGTGCTGAAAAGCAGCCGTGTAACTTCTAAAGAGATGTTCCCCTTCAAAGGATGATGGCATCAGACAGCAGTAATGTGACTTTCAACTTCAGTAACAGCAAGGTCAGTAGGATTTCTTGTCTTCAGAACACATTTCTGCTACTGGTCTTGTCCAGTTGTGCATCGAATCTGTGCATATAGCTGTATTCATACACCATCTAGTACAGCCAAACACTTGCAGTATTGTTTTGGCTTATTTAATTCTTACAAGTTTTATTCAGAAAGCAGCCTATACTTTCAGAGAAAACTTTTAGCTTAATTTTTAAGACTTTAGTTTTGGAGCCCAAATGAAATTTTGTAGGGGAGGAAAAAGTTACTTTTGGGGAATCTTTTTCTTCAGTGTAACTGCTGCAATGCTTTGTGACTTCAAAAGGGGACAAATCAGCTGAGGAAGACCAAAAGCAAAGCCAGTTGCAATCCATTTTCTTTCCCTGTGTAAGGACATCCAACAGAGACTAGACGTGCCAAGAGAAGGGTGAAGTCAATACATAAAAATGGATTCATACACTTTCTCTCCCAGAATGTTTAAGGGTGAAAGGATCTCCCCGCAACTAGGCACGGCCAGATTGAATACTTATGGGAATGCTGTAAGAATATTCCTGATACTTGCAAATATTTTTAATGCTTAGTAAGGAAGGCTGAGAGCAGGGCAGCGAATACGCACATTTAAAAAAAATGCATCTAACACCCAGATCTGATGCAGTTTTTATGCTTGTAGCTCATGCAAGGAGTAAAATTAAGTATTACTAATTAAACAAAGTGATGGGTTTAGCTGGATGAGACTTCCAGGTTTTTAAATAAATTTAAGAGCAAAAAATCTAAAGTTTACCCAGGAATCTATAAATGTAACCATATAATATGCCATACTATAGGAATATAAAGAAAAGAGCTTTCTTGGACGTATGTTAGTGACAGCTGTGAGGGAAATAATGAGACTTTATCATATGTAGTGTTACAAATACTGCTTACGTGAGAAGCACTGGCTTAAAAAATGTTTTTAAAAAGGCGAAAACCCCCCAAACCCAACACACACAACCTCTAGCCAGGCGAATACACTATTAGTTTTGCCCTAAACACCCCCAAAAGGCAGAGGCCCTGAAGACACCTGCAGCAACTATGCAAGGTGATGTGATTCTGTGCTCGTTGGAGAAACCCAAGTGTTTGTGACCCCAAAGGGTCTCCATACAGCAGTGGCTACAGCCCAGGGCCCGTAGCGAGAGCCACGGTCGGGCCGGTGGCCGGTACCTGCAGCTCCTTGGGGAGGATGGTGTTCTTGCGGATGGCGTTGATCCTCAGCCTCTGGTCCGCGTACTCATAGGCCAGCTTCCGTCTCTTGACGTCCCGCAGCATCCTCCAGTCCACATAGTAGCTCCGCACTTGCCTCGTGCACGCCGAGGGGAGCACCTAATTAAGAAAATTAAGCTTATGATGCCCACCTGTGGCACGGACAGTTGCCAAGCTCCAGTGTGAATTATCCCCATAAACGTGTCTTCGTCAGACTTTTTTCAAATTATTTCCTTGCCAGCGAGGGATTTACCACACGGGAGACACGAACAACCCGCCGCGACGGTGACGCCCACAGCCCGCCCCGGGGCTCAGGCCTGGGCTGACGCGGGGCCGGGGCTGAGGCCGCCGCCGCCGGGAGCCCCGGGGCTCGGGCTGATGCGGGGCCGGGGCTGAGGCCACCGTCGCCTCCCCCAGCGGTCTGAAAACCCCCGCAGCCCCCCCGCCGGGCCCTTCCCGCTCCCCGGTGCTTCGGCCGGGCGGGATACGGCCCCAAAAGGGATGAAGGAAGGAAGGGAGCCGGGCTGACCTGCCGAGCGGCCTGCAGCGCCCAGCCCAACATGGAGGCCGCCATCTTGTCGGCCAAGTACTTGGATACCCTACATGAAAAGGCTATTATTCATACCAGTTGTTACTCCAAACATCCCAGAAATCAGGTGACGGAAATTCCTCCCAAAGACACAATTATAAAAACAAAACTTGAAAACTGGTTTCTGCGCTGATATTTTGAAAAGAAAAAAAAAAAAAAAAAAAAAGAACCCCAAACCACTTGAGAGAGCTGTGCTGTATGTCCCAGCGCTGATGTCAGCCCAGCCGGCACCTCCATCATTAGAGGGAGCTGGCGCCTTCCACAGAAACCTCAAGACCCGAATTTGGGTGGACCGAAAGGATCCCAGGTTAAAGAGGAAAGTCTGTGGAAACGCCAGGGGAAAGAGCTCCACCGGGAAAATGCGATGCAGAGACACCACACCGTGTTGTGGGGTCCCTCTCCAGACCAGCCCCTCTGTCCTGTCCGCCTGTCTCTCTGCGGTCGCCTCCCCCAGCGGTCTGAAAACCCCCGCAGCCCCCCCGCCGGGCCCTTCCCGCTCCCCGGTGCTTCGGCCGGGCGGGATACGGCCCCAAAAGGGATGAAGGAAGGAAGGGAGCCGGGCTGACCTGCCGAGCGGCCTGCAGCGCCCAGCCCAACATGGAGGCCGCCATCTTGTCGG